AGGATGGGGGTACAAACAAGAATGTCGAGGTGAGAACTATACCCCCTAAGGCTAGCCCCTATATAGCTTAGATAACTTAATACACATATGTTTTGACGCACCCCCATCGGCGAAGTGGGGGATAGCCAGAGGAAACAATGGTCACAAGACCAGTCAAGAGAAGAACAAAGCAAAAGGAAGCTCAGGGTGGATCACAACGTCACCACACACTCTGAGCACAAGCAAATGGCCACAAGGTTGGTCCACACGTAGAGTTATATTAAAGATAGCAAACAGTACAGTGATCACTACCTAGCAAGAGTAAGCATGCAGGTATATATATATATAGGGATCACAGTACAAGCAAAGTCAAGCAGTGAGCAAGTGAGGCAAAGCAGGCACAAGGCCTAATACAGTACAAAAGCGCTGATGATCACCAGGCGGAAGTGCCTTGGTGAATATATCAGCTGTGTTGGCCCGAGTGGCCATGTAAGCAAGACGAAGCTGACCACGCTGCTTCGACTCTCGAGCAAGGAAGTAACGCAGAGCAATGTGCTTCATTCTGTGCTCCAGTCTGTGCTCCTGATACAAGGCAATAACAGCCTTGCTGTCTATGTCCAGAACTGGAGAAGAACGAGGCCGCTCTCCCAAGTCGATCAGCAGGTAGGTGAGCCAACGTAAATCCTATGCAGCCATGGCTCCCGCGTAGATCTCAGCCTCACAACTGGAGCTAAGAACAGAAGACGACTGGGTAGACTGCCAAGAAAGAGAGCCGGAGCCAAGGTTGAAGGTGTAACCCTGTGACGACTGCTGCGTAGCCAGGTCGTCAACCCAAGAAGCGTCTGAGTGTCCAGTGAGGACAACTGGACCCCGTCCTCCAAGCACCAACCCCATGCCTGATGTACTGCACAAGTAACGCAGTACCCTCTTTGCAGCATCCCAGTGCACCTTTCGGTGTCTACCAGGAGCCACATAGCGTGCCCTAAGACCAAGAGGGTACGCAAGGTCAGGATGAGTGCAGGTCATCAGGTACATAAGGCAGCCCACAAGCTCTGGATATGGACCACTCGGCTCTACGGACTCGTCCGAAGGTGGAGCTGAGAGCGAGTGACCGGTAGCCAGAGGAGTGGACTGTGGCAAGGACCAAGTGAAGCCGAAGCGCTGAAGGACCTGCTGCACCATGTGTGACTGGGTCAGGGTGATGGTGCACCGTGCTCTGTCACGGGTGATTAGCAAGCCAAGATAGCTGCGCAACTCACCCAGGTCTGTGCACGTACGTCTATTCTGCAGCTCCGGCTTCACAAGGGCCAGTGCTGCAGTGTCAGAAGTGGCAAAAACCAAGTCGTCGACGTACACGAGGATGTAGAACGGTGGCAGCGAAGTGTCGGCGTGGAGAAACGGCGACGAGTCTGCAGTCGAAGGAGCAAACCCAAGTGCCGCAAGTGTCGTCCTCAGTGTGTCGTGCCACTCACGAGGTGCCTGGCGGAGACCGTAGACTGGCCGTCGGAGGCTCCAGCGGGTACCTGCAGGAAACGACCCAGTGAAGCCACGTGGGCGGCGCAGCCAGATCTCCTCATGCAGGCTGCCCTGTAAGAAAGCTGTGCTGAAGTCAAGAGAGTGAAGCTCGTAGTCACGCTAAGCGGCAACGTGCAGCAGTACCCGAAGAGTGGTCATCTTCGGGGTAGGAGAGAAGGTCTGGAAGAAGTCAACTCCCTATCGCTGACTGAAGCCTCATGCAACGTAACGAGCCTTGAAGACAGGCGGAGAACCCGGTGGCCGCTTCACCCTGGAAATCCACATGCCAAGAACTATGTTCGCCCCAGGTGGGGGAACTGCGTCGACGTAAGTGCCTGTGGACTTCCAGGATGCCATCTCTACGTCCATAATTGTCTGCCACTGAGAGGAGTAGGGACCCAAAATCGCCTCTGCGTAAGAGCGCGGGGTCGGGATGTCTGGTGCATCCAGGTCTCCCTCAAGGGCAAGCAGCATGGCCACGAGATGAGTTACAGAGACTGCAGTACACTCAAAGTCCTCCTGCCTGTCCTCAAGGACGTCCGTGCCAAGAGCACACTCACCCCCAACGGACGGAGGATAGAGAGACTCAGACTCAGCAACAAGACTAGCGGCGTAGTCAAGATGACAAGCAGCAGCAAAGTCAACAAGCTCAGCGACTAAGGCAGACACAGCACCAGACTCGAATGAATGGTCAGTGACAATAATGGCTAAGAGACGCGTAATGACAGTAGGGCTGGCAGCACGAACCAGGTCAGACTCAGGGTCCGGAACGTGCAAAAGTGAGGACTCAGGAAGAGACGGCAAGGGACATGCTGTGGAACAAAGGAACATGAGGAGGAAATTTACGAGGAACACGACGACCAGTGCGAACAGCGCGAACAGGCGAGGCAGGACGAGACGCAGGCTCACGACGCTGTATAAGCGAGTCAGTCTGCTCAGTGTAAGGAGAGGGAGCAGGCAGTGCAGAGCCTGGCTGTAACGGGAGGCCAGTAGAAGACGGGAGGCTAAGAACCTGGCGAAGCACCGAGTCAGGCGGCGTCAGAGACGGCGGAGCGAAGAACAGTCGCGGCTGTGCAGTACCACCAGCACCTGCTCCTCCAGCCTCAACACCTGCTGAATTAGTACCAACAACTCCAGGGTCTCCAGCAGCTCCAGGGCCTCCAGCATCTCTAGGGCCTCCAGCTCCTGTACCTCCAACTCCCGTGTCACCAGCTCCAGCGCCTCCAGCTCCAGGGTCCGCAGCACCACCAGCTCCGGCCGCTCCAGCACCTCCAGCTCCTGCGTCTCCAGCCGCAGTGTCTCCAGCCCCAGCAGCGCCACGCCGAAGGTGGCAGCACTGAGTGTACCACTCGCGTAGCTGCAGTGGCGAGAGAGCACCTCCAGAACCTTCAGTACGAGCACCTCAAGGACTAGCAGTGCCAGCACCACCAGCACCTCCAGTACCGACAGCACCACCAGCTCCGGCAGCTCCAGTACCTCCAGTACGAGCACCTCCTGAACTAGCAGCTCCATCTCCACCAGTACCCTTAGCACCAGCAGTACCTCCAGACTCAGCAACACCAGGCTCCGCACCCGCAGGCTCAGCACCCCCAGGCTCCGCACGCTCAGGCTCAGCACCCCCAGGCTCCGCACGCTCAGGCTCAGCACCCGCAGGCTCAGCACCGACAGGCTCTGCACGCTCAGGCTCAGCACCCCCAGGATCCGCACTCGCAGGGGCTTAGCACCCCCAGACGCAGCACCCCGAGCAGCACCACACTCAGTAACACCAGAGTCAACCGCAACTGGCTACAAAGGCGGTGAAGACTGTCGAGGTGGAAAACCGTGAGGGGTCTCCAAGCGTGGTGAGTGGCGGGGGGCCACCGCGTCGTCAAGAGCAACGTCACCCCCCTCTGCCGGGCCAGGGGTGTCTGAAGTGACCTCCAAAGGCTCAGCCAAGGGGAGTGGGTCTACCTGAGACACACCTGAAGGAGCAGGACCCTGAGGGGGGAGGGGGTCTACCGGAGGGGGACCTGGAGCGAGGAAGAGCGGCGGAGGGGGGAGGGGGGCAGTGCGGTAGGGGAAGAGACGGTAAAAGGGAACCGACTCGTCGAACGTGACGTCCTGGGAGGACAGAACACGACGCGAGGTGGGGTGGTAAAATTGCCAGCCAGGCGCGTCAATAAAAAGCCAAGGAAGACGTACAGAACGGCGCGCGAGGTGAGCTTGTCCGCGGAGGTATCGCGGACAAAGGCACGAGCGCCCCAGACCCGAAACGCCGACGCATCGCTAACCTGCCCCGTCCAACGCAGTGTCAGCAAGGTATCTGGCAAGGAGACACGAGGCCAGAGGTTGAGCTGATGCGCAGCGTACCGGACCGCGAACGGCTACAAAAAAAAGGGGAGCAGCCGCATGGATCATGGAGGTACGAGCGACCTCCATGACTAAGCCAATGTGGCGCTCAGCAACCCCATTCTGCTGCGGAGAGGCCAGAAGCGTGAACGACTGGAGGATGCCCTCCCCCTGACAAAAGGCCTGCAAGAGGTCGGAGGAAAACTCACCACCTCTGTCAGAGTGCAGACTCAGGACAGGAAGGTCCGAGTGGAACCGCTCTCGGAGCTGGAGACGGACTGTGCGGATCCAAGGGATCAAGACATCAGGGACCTCACCCTTGGTGCGCAAGGGGATGACCGTGATGTAACGCGTGCAGTCGTCAACAACTAGCAGAAAGCACCGCTCTCTGCCCTCTCCAAGGACGCGGGCGGGGAACCACACGTCCATGTGGAGAGTCTGCAGGGGAGCCTCTGTCGGGGGAAACGAGGAGGAGTGAGGAGCGGCGCGCTGACGCCCCTCGACGCAAAGAATGCAGGGCGGGGCAGGATAGCGCGGAACAGGGGGCAGAGACTTGGGAAGACTAGAGACAAGGAGGCGGGAGTGCATGCCACGGAGGCGTGGTAGGGAGGGGTGACCAAGGCGGTGGTGCCAAAGGAGAGTCTGGTGCGACAGGAGGCGACCGGGGCAAGAGGTGGCTACCTGACCCTACGTGGACAGCTGACCAGACGCAGCTACCTGAGGAGGTGCAGTAGTCAGTGTGTACATACTCGACCCCGGCCGACGTCTAAACGTGGCCAGGTGACGGCCCATCCTCGAGCACGAAAGATCGCCGCACGCTGCCCGCCAAGGGTAAAGGTATCAACTAATGCATCCTGGAGGATAGCGGTAATCACCAAGTTCGTCGAGAATCAGGGGAGGTGAAGACCTGACAGCGAGTCAGACGTAACTGCCGAACACAAAAAAACAATGGTGGAATGAGCAAGAACTGCAACAGGTGCAGTGGTGGTGTGAGTGCGGTACTGTCACGAAAGAAGCAGCGAGAAGCACCTGAGTCAAGCGTGAAAGTGTGCAAGGCCTCAGCATGTACCAGAGAGAGCAGACTCACTAGCATCATAGTCAAGATCAAATATATCAACATCGTGCCTAAGCAGGTCCGCCCAGTGGGGGAGCTCAGGTGCGTCAGGAAACTGTGTGTTCTAGGCGTCATCAAGACGGGAGAAGCAGTGGTACTCGGTGTGAAACTTCCCGCATGTCTGACCGGTGCGGGGACCAGTGCGAATGACACATGGGCATCGAACAGCACCCCCAGACGCCCCACGATGAGCATACCACTCACGAAGCTGCTGGGGCGTAAGGGTCTCGCACGGACGTTGTTGCTGCTGCTGCTGCCGCTGGCCACCACCAGAGCCCCCCCTCTGAAAGGCTCCACCCCGACCGCCACCACTGCCGCCGCCACCGCTCCCACTGTCGCCACCGCCGCCACTGCTGCCTCCACCACTACCGCTCCCACTGCCTCCACCTCCGCCGCCTCCACTCCTACTGCTGCCGCTACCACCGCCACCGACGCCTCCACTCCCGCCACCACTCCCACCGCCACCTCCGCCACCTCCACCACCCCCGTCGCCTCCACCACCGCCCCCCCCCGCCGCCCTTGCCCTTGCCGCTGCGGCGCTTCCCAGTAGGAGCAGAAGCAGCGCTAACCTCCTCAGCACCAAGGAAGTCAACAGCAGCAGCAGAAGCGTAGGAGGGGGCAAGGGGGGAGGGGGAACACCCCTCGAAGAGGGGAGTGCAAGGAGTGCCACGAGCAACATCTACAGCGACAATGCCCTTCTTTGCTGCAAGGAGGTGCTTGTCGAAGTCTTTGACGGTGAGGGCAGTAGGGTCAAGAGCGTGAAAGTGGTCCCTGACCGTACGAAGCGAGTCAGGGAGGCAGGTGACTAGGAAGTATAGCGTGATGTACATCGGGGGCGGATTCGCGGCTAGGAACACGTCTGGGAGAGCGGCGCGGTAGCGAACGTCACTAGTGCGAAGGTGGGAGATGAGGTCCTCAATTGTGTAAAAGGAGGACAGCTCCCGGAACAGGTAGGGTAGGATAAGGCGGATGAGAGCAGCAATGGCAGGGGAAGAGTAGCAAGCGGCTATAGCGGCGTACAGGTCCTTCGCGGTTTTGTGCTGGCCGAAGTGAGCACGTTCAGTTAACAGCAGGTGGTTGCGAATAGCTAGGCGAGCAGCAGTGTCGCGGGTCTGCCACTGGGAATGAGTGAGGCTGTTAGCTGTGTCAGAAATAGCAACCGAGGAGCCAGGCGCGTGGTCAAACAGGGAATCACCGTCTTTAGCATCGGTGATTAGGTACAGCTGCAGGCATTGAGCCACGTGGCGAACTCTATCTGGCGGCCGTCAGGATCGAACGAGAGGACGTTGAGCGTAGCCATAGCTAGCAGAGTCAGGTGGCGCGTGTCGAGCAGGGCAATAGGGCAGTAGCAGCAGCAGGGCAGTAGCAGTAGCTTAGCACCAACAGCAATGCAGCAACAACAGTGCAGTAACAGTAGCACAGGCAGCAGCAGTCGCAGTGCAGGTGCGCGCGTGGCAGGGCAGGTGCGCGCGGTCTTGGCGCCGGCTGCACAGGCTGCGCGCGGGCCTGGCGCGGGCTGTATGGGCCGCGCGCGGGCCTTGCGCGGGTCATACGGGCTGCGCGCGGGCCTGGCGCGGGCTGCGCGCGGGCCGAGCACGGGCTGTAGGGGCTGCGCGTGGGCGGCGCGCGGGCTGTACTGGCTGCGGGCGGGCTGCGCGTGGGCTGTACGGGCTGCACACAGCAGAGCAGGGCAGGGCAGGGCAGCGCGAAAGCGCTGGGAAGGGCAGGGAAGGGCAGAAAATTCGGGCAGAAATGAAGCTAACTGGTGGGCCCTTAAAACAAGACTCGACGATATCGTCGGAAGGGTTGCGTAGTACTGTATTTTGTATTTAATATGGGTGTAATCAATCTGTGTCATGTATTATTTATTTCAAAGCACAATACCCGAGTCATCCCTATTTTCCCTATTTATTAAATTAGAAATGAAGCTTAGACATGAAGGCGTATATACATTTTGATTTTGACGGTTCGTACCGTCGACGGGTTAGTTGCGATTGTAACCTTTTGAATAATACAACAAGCTAATTTATGCAAATAGGTAAAGCAAACCGATTAATGCAGATACCGTGCGACTTTTACTAGAGTACTTGATTAAGAATGTGAAACATGATGCATATACATTTGTTTGTTGTTTATGACATATTTTTATCTTATCAATGATAATTTGTTAGCATATGCTAAAGTTTGAGGGTTTGAAACAATCTCTTTGGAAGCATTCTTTATTGTATTCTTAGGGTGTAGAACTTTTATTGCTATGCTAGTGAAATATAATTAGTGGGACCACCTTATTTGGGACCACAGCACTAGTGAGCTTTTTTAGGAATGACTCATTCCTACTTTGAGTCTTGACAATTCTGCCTTGATGATGTCAATTCTAGGTTGATGATGTGTTGTTTGACGTGTCCAATCTTTTTTTTTTGCTGAGTTGGTGAGACAACACAAATCTTGGAAGTTGACATTCCAACCAAGATGTTTTTAGCGTTTGCACGTCATGCTTAAGAACGTGGATGTTAAGATTTCACACTTGTTGGCTCAAAATTGCAGTTCAAAAAAAAGGAAATGTTGTTGTTTGGAAAAAAAAAAAAACAAACAAACAAAAACAAAAACAAAAACAAAAATGAAAGCAGTGAACACATTTGCTTTTCGACATCGAAAAAGATGAGCGGAATTGATTCCCGAAGCGCATCTCTTCCCTTCCATTGATTCGAGTCCCTGCTGTTCGAGCCCCCCCTCGTCGTCTCTTCGAACCCCCCCTCGTCGTCTCTTCGAACCCCCCCTCGTCGTCTTCCCCTTCTCAATCGTGTCTCTCTCTCCTAGTTCGAAGTACCTTCAGATTCACATCAGCAATTTCAGCTAGTAGCTTGTGACTATCAGTGACTATATTGCTGCTATTCAATCAAAGAAATAGATCGAGAATCTTTCAGGTAATAAAAAAGTCCTACTCTCAGAGTAAGATTTGCTACGGATAGATGCAGAATATCATTTAAGATGTGCTTTAGCGCTGGAGCTTTTGGCGCCTTGAGCTGTGACCCCATTTGGCGCTGGCGCAAGGCGCTTTTGGCGCCTTGAGCTCTGGCGCCATTTGGCGCTGGCTTTTGGCGCCTTGAGCTCTGACGCCATTTGGCGCTGGCGCAAGGCGCTTTTGGGCCTTGATGTCAGGCGCCATTTTGCGCTGGCGCCAGTGCTTTTAGCGCCTTGAGCTCTGGCGCCATTTTGTGCTGGCGCTGGTGTGTTGAGATCTGGCGCCATTTGGCGCTGGCGCAAGGCGCTTTTGGCGCCTTGAGCTCTGGCGCCACTTGTTATTGGCGCTGGCCCCTTGAGCTCTGGTGCCATTTGGCGCTGGCGCAAGGTGCTTTTGGTGCTCTGGCGCCATTTGGCGCTAGCACAAGGCGCTTTTGGCGCCTTGAGCTCTGGCGCCATTTGGTGGCGTCACTCAACAACATAAACCTCCTCTCCATAATCACCGTACTCCCGTTCTTTCTACTGATGCCTCCCCCCCCTGTTGCTGCTCCCCGTTCATGCCCGTGTGCTCCCATTCCCTCCCACCAACAGGCCTCGCTCAACAACATAAACATCTTCTCCATCATCACCGTCCCCTCCTTCTTCCTGCTGCTGCTTGTCGCGCTCTTCACAGAGGGCATCGTGTTTAGCCCGAAGCTGCTGCAGGCACAGGTATGGCAGGCACAGGTACGGCCGGCGTAGGTACGGCAGGCGCAGGTACGGCGGGCGCAGGTACGGCGGGCGCAGGCATGGCGGGCGCAAGCATGGCGGGCGCAGGCATGGTAGGCGCAGGCATGGCGGGCGCAGGCATGGTGGGCGCATTCATGGCGGGCGCATGCATGGCGGGCTTAGGTATGGTATGGCAGGCGCAGCTATGGCAGGCGCCGGTATGGTAGGCGCAGGTATGGCAGGCGCAGGTATGGCAGGCGCAGTTAAGTGAGCGCCTTGGACGTTGAGGTAAGGTAACTTTGGTTTGGTGTGACTTTTGTGACGCTCTAGTTCAGCCCCGAGTTGCTAGGGGCGTCGATATGGCCCTACCCATCTCTGTTGTTCCATTCTCTGAAGTAACATGCTCCGTGCTCTCTATTTTCCCTTCTTCACCCTTCCTCTCCCACTTGGTCATCTCCCGTTCCTATTCTTCCCAATCTCCCACCCCACCAGGGAGTGGACTTGCAGAGGATGATCGTCCGATCCACCTAGTAACATGTTATGTGCCCTCTCTTCTTTTCTTCCTCACTCTCTTTCACTTCCCCCTTCTTCCCAATCTCCCACCTCGCTAGGCGGTGGATGTGCAGAGGCTGATTGTTCTGTGCTTTCTTTGCCTTTCTTCTCCAGCCCGACTTTCCTCTCCCCTTATTCACCTCGCTGCTTCCCTGACATCCACCCTCCCACGAAGTGGTCGTGCAGAGGCTGATCGTCCGATCCACCAAGTAACGTGTTATGTGCCCTCTCTTCCCGTCTTTTCCACTCCCCTTCCTTTTCCTCCTTTTCCCCCCACCCATCCTGGCAGGGAGTGAACATGCAGAGGCTGTTACTACAAGCCACCTAGTAACGTGTACTGTGATCTCTCTTCCCTTTTTCCCATGCCCCTTCCTTCTCTTTTTTTGTCCTTTGCTTACCAATCTCCCACCCGGCCAGGAAGTGGACGTGCAGAGCCGTTGAGCGCTGGCGCATGGCGCCTTTGGCACCTTGAGCTTTGACGCCTTTCCAGTCACCCTTTCCCTTCTTTTTCTCTTTACCTGCCGTTCGCCCTCTCCCAACACCCACCTTATGGCAGGTCATTCACCAAGGCTTGTACAAATAAATCAGCGCTTCCCGCTGGTTCCGTTTGCACTCCATCTTCCTTCCTTCTTTGCCTTTCCGCCCACTTTTCCTCCTTTCCTTGCCGTTCGCCCCTCCTTGACACTCACTGCGTGACAGGTAATTCAGCAAGAGTCCCTTCGTGGCCGTTATCTCAGCACATGGAAAAGCGCAAGGACTTGTAAGCGCACGCACGCATGCACTACTGATTCTGTTACTAAATCAACGATTTCACATTTATCAAGTGCGTATGTAGGCGCAAGTGCGTGGGTGAGTGCGAGAGTGCGTGTAAGGGTGGGCACAAACAAATGGTAGGTGGAAATGATAGAGATTGGTATAGCTATTATTAAACAACCATAATGCAAATTATTATTGTTTTCAGCCCTTATCTGGTCATCTTTTATTGCTTTTTCATTGTCTGCTTCTCCTTAACAAATGACATGCTTACAATGTATTCTTTCATACTGATTTTATAACCTACTTCTACTACTTCTCTTGCTATCATGTTGTCGTGGTTTTGTAGGTATTTATTTGCGACGACATCGTTCACGTCCAGTCCATTGCCTTAGTGTGGGACATTGCATTTATCATATCGTATAGTTGTATTGTATATGTTTGTAATGTTTTCATTTTCGTACGACTACATTTGATCCTTTACATTAGCATAGATGATAACTTGTCTATACGATTAGCATAGTTTTAAATTTTTTTGTTCATTTGATAAGACGTATGTTTTTATCCTCTTGTGTGAGGTGATATGGTTGTTTTTTTGAATGGTGTGAGACTCGGTTGTGTGTTTGAGTTCATGGTATCCTAATACAAATCACACCTTACATCACTTATACAAGGCTTGGCTATCCGTCCTTTGCTACACCGCTTCCCAGAAGCGACTCTCATTTGCAACATGCTGCTTCTCTCGCTCGCCCTCGCCCTACTTGGTACTGCTCTTATCCTTGTAAGCAACTGCGCACCGGCATTGTGGATCATTTCAACTTGTAAATACCGTGCATCGTCTCTTTCCTTTCTCTTCTCTCCCTTGCCGTTGCTTTGCTTACGCTGCTCCCAACCTTGGAGTGCACTTACGTCCAGTACCTACTCTCCTCCCCTTTTTTTTTTCCCCTTGCCGATCGTATTTCTTTGTTCCGGTGCCTCTTGTTTTGCAACACATTCACTTGTCCGGTCCAAATAAAGATGCCCTTGTCCTCGTACTAATTGTCGATGAAGAACATAGTCTTCCTGATCATCCCATGCATTCATGTAAAATTTTGGGGCACTTTGCATTTCTTATTCTCCTACCCCCACAGGGCCTCCTCAAATCACTAGTACAAGGCCAGGCCATCCGTCCCCTTCTACACCACTTCGCACGCGCACCTCTATCTTCCGCGGCTTGCTGCTCTCTATCACACTCGGCCTGCTTGTTGCTGCCCTTAGCCTCGTAAGCGTGTGCGCATCTAGTTTTGTGAATCGTTCCTTGTCGCAAGATACCTTGCATCCGCCTCT